ACACATAGTAAAACAAACTCAGTGTCATTAAGTAGATTCTGTCTCACAGCAACTCTATAAAATATCTGAGATGGTAAATAGCCTTGTCTTTTCCCCATGAAGTGGATTGTGGTTTTGAACTTCCAACACTGCAGTTATTAACCAGATGCTTAAAACATTATGACACCAGAGTCCTTAAAAATAGTCATTCTACTAGTGATCGGCTGGCTGCTTCCAGCCCAGTAGAGAGGTGGAAAGCTGGCAGTGTGCCAGTAATCTTCAAAAGGCAGGAAGTACCCCAGCTCTGCCACTTAACTATTCTCTCCAGGGGGAAGGGAAGCTGGCCCCCCCCACCCCCCCCTGCACAGTTCACTGCCCTGGTATTTCCTCTGTCCCAGGCTTTGCATGACTGCCATGGTACAGTCTTATCTCAAACTGTTTCCTGTGATCTGTGGGTTTTGGCGTTTCAGTGAGTTTGCTGAAATGTCGAAGAAATATTTCCAAACTTCGGTGTTCAATGAAATTTTTGTTCAAGTTTGAAATGGAGAGAGCAAATTAAAAGGTACTGAGCCTTTGACAGATTGGTGAGTACTGGCACGTGAGCTCTAGATCAGGAGCACTTCCCACCTGTAGTCAGTGGGAAAGGAAAACAGTGCTTTGAAAGTTCCTCCTTCAACCTACACCCTTAGTCCTCATGAGAGAGATGCGTTCTCAAGGGAGCCCTGGCTTCTTGGAAGCGCTTGCCTAGGTGAGACACAGTGCATCAAAATAACTTTTGGGGGACAGGTATGTTTTTCTTGCAGCTGCGGTTGTAAAGTCTTGGCAAGACGAGCAGTGTGGCCAGAATGTTGAGCTGTTGAGTGTGTAAATGCAAAGGACCACATATACTGTAATCGAAAGGTCCTAAAAAGAGCACAGGAAGAGGTTGCTGTGAACTTTTAAGTGGCCCTACTGCGTAGAAGCATTCAGATGTCACTTGATGATCTATCTGTAAGGGGTCTTCCTGATTTGGGAATGTATTAGGGATACAGATATTCCTTTTGGTTGGCCTTAATGAGAATTACAAAGATGACATGTGCTTTTCTCTCCTTCCTTTTTTTCTCCCCCCAAACCTCAGTGGTCTTCCTACAGGGAATGGATAACCATTTTAACTGTATTTTTTGCAGTCCATACCTTCTTGGGAATACAATTGGCTAACTTTTTATTTTTGGTCTGGCTGTGGTGGTGTGCAAAACTCCGTTCATTGCTATTTTGTCACACTGCAACACTTTACAGATGTGGAAGATGTGAAATTTGTCATCAACTCTGACTATCCTAACTCCTCAGAGGATTATAGTCATCGAATTGGAAGAACTGCTTGCAGTATCCAAACGGGCACAGCATACACCTTCTTTACACCCAATAACCTAAAGCAAGTGAGCGACCTTATCTCTGTGCTGCGTGAAGCCAATCAAGCAATTAATCCCAAGTTGCTTCAGCTGGTCGAAGACAGAGGTGGAAGACAGAGGGCAACCTTTGCTATGAGATAGCATTGCTTATTTATTGGAGGTCATGTGGTTTGTCTCGAATCAATAGAGCCGAGCAATTGTAAAACACTTGTGACAAAGCTACCTAACTTCCTCTTTTTTAACAATGATTTGTGTCATGGAAATACTGTTTGCCATTTATTTCCAGCAGGTCGTTCCAGGGGTAGAGGAGGCACCAACGATGCCTGACGGGACAGATAATCTGAAGGTAAAAGGGGTGGATTCAATACCTTTAGAGACAGGGAAAACTATGATAGACGTGACTCTAGTCTGCTTAAGAGAGATTTGGGGGCAAAAACCCCAAACGGTGTTTACACAGCTGCAAATTACAACAATGGGAGGTTTGGAAGTAATTTTGTGTCTGCTGGTATGCAGACCAGTTTTAGGACTGGTAATCCAACAGGGACTTACCAGAATGGTTATGATAGCTCTCAGCAATATGGAGCTAACATTCCAAATATGCACAACGGGATGACCCAGCAGGCAGCATATGCATATCCTGCTCCTGCAGCTGCACCTATGGTTGGTGATCCAACGCCAACAGGATATTCTCAATAAGACTCTAGAGGTATATGTAAATGTCTGTTTCATAATTGCTCTTTATATTGTGTGTTATCAGACAAGATAGTTATTTAAGAAACATGGT